TTAAGAAATAATGTTGGACATTGACAAGATGAAGAAGAAACACAAGCTATGATAAAAACAGAAGTACTACCAAACTACCCCAAAATTATTTCAAAAACTGTGATCAAACAATGCTGGTGTGACTGTTGCTCAGATTAGAATCTAGAGAGATGTGGGAGGAGGAAGGGTAAGTACCACTACCCAATGTGTTAGGATTCACACACAACAAGAAGTCTGGAAGTGGAGTAACAGAGGCCCAGACTAACAAGGACAATCAAGAACCACCAGAAGCTTTTCAACCATCTGCTATTAACAAGTAGAAAAAAGCAAAGAACAAAGAGATGCATGACAGAACTGAATATGCATCTTCAATGACATCACATAATCAGCACAAATGCAGTGATTGAAAAGTTGTGGCAAGATTCTAATGTCAGAATCTAAAACAATCAGTTAGCTTCCCTCCTCCATCATGCCACTGTGGTGTATTTCTCACATGGCGCTGTTTGGCAACATTTTGGAGACCCGTTTTCTGGCTTTTTTTTTTTCCAGCATCTGGTCAAAAGTGACTCAGATTAATCTGGAACAGATTCAGATCAATCTGATCCACTTCAGCCTAAATAAAAAACAGGACTGAATTGGTTCATGTGGCGGACAGCCCACACGTCACTCCTGTCAGTCATTTTAGAGCTCTAGTACAGGAGTCTATGACAGGACAGGAGGGGCAGAGTCAAGGGAACTGGGAGTGCCAGAGAGGCAGCTAGGAAAAATATGGTGAAGTGTTTATTTATTTATTTAGACAGGGAGGAGACTGTGAAGTGTTTAGTTTAGATACTGGACAGTTGGTTAGTTAGAGAATATTAAAGAGTTAAAAGGAATTAGAAGTACAGTACATTGACAGTAAGAAAATATTGAGATCTTGATTAAAGTACAGTGGTGCCTCGCATAGCGAGGTTAATCCATTCCGGATTAACCCTCGCTATGGGAAATGTCGCTGAACGGAAATAAAAAAGCCATAGAAATGCATTGAACTTTGTTCAATGCGTTCCTATGGCTTTAAAACTCACCGTTAAGCGATCTTCCTCCATAGCGCTGCCATTTTCGCGCCCTCAGTAAGCGAGGGAAGGGCGCGAAAATGTGGCGTGGACCTTCCAGCGGCCATTTTGGAACTGCCAATCAGCTGTTCTCCCCCGCTTCGTTATGCGATATTCGCTAAGCGAATCGCTTAGCGAATATCGCAAAGTGAAAAAATGCCATAGGGGCCATCGCTGAGCGAATGCTCCAGCAATGACCCAGAGCCCCTCGTTAAGCGATTTAATCGCTCAACGGGGCGCTCATTAAGCGAGGCACCACTGTAAATGAGTACAAGCAAGATTATACCGTATTTTTTGCTCCAAAAGACACTTTCCCCCCTCAAAAGTGGGGGGTCTGTGCGTCTTATGGAGTGAAGCTGGTGATTTCGCCCCCACTGGCCCTGTGGGGGCAGCCTTGCAAGGGTCTGAGTAAGCCTTCCAGGAATCTTGCGAGGCTCCCCCCACTCCCCACGGGGCCAGCGGGGGCGAAATCGCCAGCTTTGAGGATATTTTCTGAGGCTTGAAAGGCTCAGAAAAGGTCCTGGAAGCTGGCGATTTCACAGTCCCTGAAGGTGGCGATTTTGCCCCCTCTGGCCCCCAGGGGGGCTGGGTGAGCCTCCAAAGGGTCCTAGGGTGTGTTCCATAAGACGGGCCTCTCCATAAGGCTCACCAAATTTTTAGGAGAAGAAAACAGATTATTATTTTTCTGTTTTCTTCTCCTAAAAATTTGGTGCGTCTTATGGAGAGGTGTGTCTTATGGAGCAAAAAATACGGTAAGTAATCAAATCCACGTTTAATGAATGAATGATAATAAAACATCCATGATCTTCCTTCTGTGATTCATTTATTTCTCCTTAAATAAACCTTATTTTATTTGGCAGCAAGAGTGTGAGACTCATAATTGAGATAGTGAGGCTAATATCCTCTGGTGGCAGCGAATAAAAGGGTAAAGAACAAGTTGTGTCCGAAGGTGAACTTGTGTGAGAGGCAAAACACACAGGGGTCACTGGGGGTACGCGACAGTTCACATTTTGGAGCTTGGTTAAATCAGCTGCACACGCTCAGCCCTGTTTCTACAAAATACATGATTTCCTTTGCAGATCATGAGATTAAGCAGGCACTTATAATACAAATAATTCCTTCATCAAATGCAGAAATCTATCCTCCATCATTTATATTACAAGTATGGAGATCCCACTTCATTTTATTGTTAATTGGTTATTTAAGAAGCTTGAACTCTCAGGAACCCCTCACCCCAGAATGCAAGGAATGGGAACTAGAAAATTTGCAAGAGTCTTTTTGTTTGCTGAATCTATAATTTACGCAAGTTACCTGGCAGATTTCAAGTGGGTCAGTCCATGGTCCTGATGGGGACAACATTATAACCTAAGCCTGATATCGTATTTATATTTGTACACATCCATGGAGAATCACAGTTGCACAAAGAAAAACATGAATCAATGCAAAATAACAATTCTGTAATTGAAAAGTATTATATTAATGTTTTGTTAGAATGTTGATAGGTTTGGTGCTTTCTTCTGCTCTTAATAGCTGATATTCCTGACAAATCTTCCTTATACCCAGAAGACTATCAGTCCACTGGAAATCTTCCCTGTGGGACACCAGGGAGCCTATGGTGCAAAAATACGGTACTTCAGGAATTCTTGGATAACACTGGCAACCTGAATCAATTTCAACTTTACTTCTATCTGTGTTTCAATTCCAGCTATGTCTTGGTTATTCTGGCTAACATCTTTTATTGAGAGAAGTAGATGAGTGTGACCTTGCTAGTTCTCCTGGATCAGTACTTTCTACATCATTGGCCATATTCTTCTAGATGATATCTCCAAAATGAGAAGGGGACACTGCATTCCTGTGGTTCCATGTCTATTCAACAAACTGTCTTTAGAAGACTGAATAACAAGGAAATTGCTCAGCACTCTGCTAGTTCTGCTGTGATATTCCACAGTGTTTTTTTGTTGTTGCCCATGCTGTCTGACTTAAGAAATCACTGAATAAGGCTATCAGCATTGTAGAATAAGGGTAGCCCCATCACATCCAATTGTATTTGCACTTTCTGTGTGATGTAGGAAATTTGACAGATATGCTAAATAGGGGACTGGAGTCAACTGGGGACCAGATGAGGGATAACAAACTGAAATTCAATCTGGGTAAGATGGAGATGCTGTTGGTTGGTGGATCAATTTACCAAGGTGTTGGTGTGCAACTCTTTAATTTTAGCTGCTTTTGCAGAGTTTGATGTGGTAGTACTGTCCTTTTCTTACATGTTTTCTGTTTATTAAAATTGTAAATTGTTCTATAATGTGTTTAAAATTAGAAGAAAAATTATCTGATGACAGAAAGGTGAGAAAGGGGAGAAGTAACTTGACTGGAATCATAAATAGATTGATCTGTTGCAGCATGATGTAGTTCCATCTTTGAAGCTCAGCAGCCTTCGCCTGGCCAGTATCAAAGTGGCAAACTACTGCAGCACTTTATGTATGCTACTTTCTGTCTATACAGAAAAGGTCAGGGTGCAATGGTGGTAAATTTAACAAAAAACAGCATGACTTCAGATTAAATGTTGCTATAATTTGGAGCAGGGCTCCACAACTACTGACTGCTTAGTCCTTCCCTTCAGTACAGATAACCTTCACAGTATTAAAAAAAGGTTTGATTCTGCCCCACCCGTGGTCCACAATGCCCAACTCTCCCATTCCCTTCCCCACATGCTTGAAATAGGGCTCTCTGTCCTACTTCGAAGCACAGAAAATTGTAAGCCTTAAGGATCATGTAATTCAGAGTAATTGTTGTTTGACTGCAGAAAATGAATGTGTACTCAGTAAGCAATTATAATGCTAGAGAAGAAAGTTTGCTTTGGCTCTAATTCTCAACCTATTATAAAGTCTGGAAGGCAATGGGTATATATCCAGAGATGGGTATGATTAGGAAAGAGCTCGGTAACAACTGACAATTTAAATACAACTTTAAAAATATTTGTTTGCCTTCTGCCCTGTTCCTGTCTCTGCATTCTTCCTCACGTGGGATTTTGTGCAGCATGCTGCTGTCGCTTTTTCAGTGGACCTTTTGCACAGTGCTGAACATGTAGTTTTGAATTTGTTCAAATACACTTACAAATGTTACACTCACATTTTATACACCATTGGCATGACTTGGCCAAGTCCAGGAAACTTTTAAGAGCCTATCTAACATGGATTTACATAGAAATTCTGCTATGTTCAGATGAGTTCATACAGGACTCCTATGGACCTCAGCTGACTTCAGTGGAAAATATTTAAGCACGTGGTTTATTCTTCCACTGACTACAGTGGAACTTTAAATCAGAGATGGGCCATTCCAAAGATTGAGGGCCATTTCCGCCTTCCTCCAGAACTTTAAGGATGGTACTCATGACATGCTAGTGCCTACAAAACACAGCCAAGAAACAAACACATCAAAATTCAAACCAAACCCTTGGGAAACCTTGGGTGTAAAGGATACAAATTGCCTGTAAATCCAATTCCCTTCTCCAGGATCTGTTTTGAGTTTGGAACGGCTCCCCCCCCCCATGGTTGTTGTTGATTTTGCTGTTTTAAAAAAGCCTTTTAAAGCCTAAAACAGTTCATTCCTGGGAGAAAAATTAAGTTTTCATGGTAAAAGGTATCTCTCAAAAGGTTTTTAGGGGATATTCTGGAACCCCAAAAGGGCTGTGTGAAGCCTGCAGGGTGCACTTTCCCCATACTTGCTTTCAATGGATGAACATTACTTATATTCTTCCCTGTGGTTCTTAACAGTGGCAAAAGTGATATAGAAAAGATGTGGCCTACCTAATGTTGGATGGTTGACCAAACAACAGCCACGCTGGGCACAAGGAAAGGGAAGAAGGCAAAAACACAGAAGTATGAATAGTAAGATGCTCAAGTACAATCCCCTTGAGCAATCATATTGTACCTGCACAAGTAGCCTTTCAAAGGCTAAGAAGTTGTCCCATTTAGTAACTTCAGGGTGCTTTAGTGTCTGAACAACAGCCAGTGCAATCTGCAGAAGTCCACAGTGGTTCTCAAGAGCTTCAAATTTCTTTTTAAAGAGTTGGATATATGAGTTGAGCTGTTCAGGGGTGACTCTACCTATGAAAGAAAAATAATTATGCATTATGGTCATTTCTAAATAGCGCAACAGATGGTTTGTTTGTGTGGGTTTTTTTTTTGACAAATTGTTGCTCCTGTCACCTTCATGTTTGTTTGTTTTGACAAATTGTTGCTCCTGTCACCTTCTGGGTAATAACAAAAGGAGTGTGTGCATGTGTGTGTCTCCGTTACTACTCAGAGTGTTGTCTTCCATGAAAGGCTGATAGAAGCATGTGCTCTGCAGGAGTCCCCCTGCTCCTGTTGCCCCCATCTATTCCCTTCTTCATACATGTACTGCTACTAAGTGCAACCTGAATAACAGTAGCAAATTGGTTTCTCCCAAGTTTCAGCACTGTGTAAGAGGACACTATTTCCTACCAGTATTACCAGACACTTTTCTCTAGAAGTCTGAAATCAGTTTCCACAGGACTAGAAAACTATAAAAGTTCTTTTGCTTATGAAAAATGTAGGTAATCTTTGGAGTCAGATGTACTTTTCTAACAAACTTCTATAATGAGGAATATTTTCCTTCAGCTCCTTTGATTCTTAGATTTCCCCAAATCAAGTTTTTTTCAAGAAAATTCACTGTAAACCAGCAAGATCACCAAAATGAAATATAACATTTATCATTCTGATAATAATTTTCCATGGATAAAAGCTGCAAAAAAAAGTCTAGTGTTGAGATAAGAGATGCTAAATAAGCAACCAGAGACATCTGTAGTTTTAGCCTAAACATCTGAACTTCCGGTCATGCTTTAATTTATTTCCTTTAAAGCTGTGTCAAGCAGATTGACATGGTGATTTGAAAATATCAACGCTTATGTTTTGCATTGAGTGCTCCTTCCTTTACCTAAATACACACACATGTACAACCACAATGTACATACTTTTTCTCTTTTTTCTATCAAAACATTGCTTTTCAGAGAAAGTACAAAATATCTTACATACACTCTGGTTTCTCTCTAGATCACATAAAACGCTCACCTTTTACTAAAGTTTATCTATCTTACATTTCCCCCAAATCCTATCTTCTCAGTCAGAGAACCTAAAGCCAGAAAGAAACATTAGTGGCAGGCATATTTAGAGCTGAAAGCATGTTAATACTGCAGAAAGGTGATTAAGGCAGTCTATCCAGATTGGCAAAATGTGACTTCAAAAGAATCCCATGTTTATATCTTAAAAATTTATTTATTTAT